TGTGTAGAAACCTTTGCCACACCAGATGTTGCAGAACTACATTTCCCATGATTCACATTATCTGAATACCATAACATCCCATTCCTGATAGGAATATACTAATAAGATTTTTATGTTCATTTTGCAATTAATTGAAAAAATTTGAGAAATGAATTTTGTATAAATTGTTCAACTAGAGGCGGTTGTCTAGCTTTTATCAAAATGTTTCCTCCAGTACTGATTTAGAAAACAAATGTACACAATACACACAAACACATTTATAGTGATTTTTTTTTCCATAGGTATATAGAGCTATAGATTTTTTTAAGCCTTACCATTAGACTGTTTTTACAATGGATATTAAAGTATATCAAAAACTCATAGAATAGCAGAGCAATACAAAACAGCGTGCCTCCCTAGTAAAAACACATAACACAGTAAAACACACACATCACACAGTTAACCCTTTGATCGCCCCAGATGTTAACTCCTTCCTGCCCAGTGTCATTAGTACTGTATCAGTGATTTTTATTAGCACTGATCACTGTATTAGTGTGATTGAGGATGTCAGTGACAGTTAGTCAATTCCCCCCCAGTGTCGGAATGCCCGCCTCAGTCCAACTATAAGTCACTGATCACCGCTGTTACTGGTATAAAAAAAATTTTAATGAAAAATTACAGTGTATATACCACCATTTGTAGATGCTATAACTTTCATGTAAACCAATTAATTTACATGTATTGATATTTTTTTTTTTAGCAAAGTCATGTAGCAGAATACATTTTAGCCTAAATTCATGACGAAATGTAATTTTTCTAATTTTTTTACTGGATAAAGTCAAAAATATTGGTTTTTTTTTTAATTGTCAGTCTTTTTTTGTTTATAAAAAATATAAAACCGCACAGGCAATCAAATACCACCAAAAGACAGCTCTATTTGTGGGAAAAAAGGACATAAATTTCACTTTGGTGCAGCGTTGCATGACCGAACAATTGTCAGTTAAAGTGACACAGCACTGTATCACAAAAAATGGCCTGGTCAGGAGGGGGGGGGGGGGTAAATCCTCTGGAGGGAAAGTGGTTAATGCCTGCAGCAGTTTTTTGTTTTTGTTTGTTAACCTAATGCTATGTTTAAGTGGAGCAAACAGTTAAATACACAGTTGAAATACATAGATTTACATAGATTTGTATTTTACATCACATGCCTATATCACAATGTACAGCCATTGGGAAAACTATATTATTTCCTGGTTCATCTTTTCTGCAAACTGGTAACTGGTAAGAGTTTATTACACAAATTAATTGTCCAATGAGTAGGGCAGATGCAGACAGGTGATATAAGAAACTATATTACTGAATATAAGGGTGCAAACAGTCTAAAAGGCTTCCCTGACTCCACTGCTGGGTTGGGATTCCATCATGTTAGGGAAAGTCCGGCTCTAGGAGTCGGACACCTGGGGCAGTCCAAGGACTGAGTCTTTTTCCATGCTGGCAGAATTTTGAGTTGCAATGGTACAGCCTCTAAGGAGGCAGCCATCCCCGTACCATGGGGATTGCCTAGAGCAGGGTGCAGTGCATTCCAGTGACATTACATCCTGGCCTCACTTCTTCAGTCTGGCGCAGTCCCCTAAGGCACAGCTGAAAATACAACCAATCCAGGAGCTTCAGAAGAAGTCACAGTGGCTATGATGCATTCAGAGGACTTGGAAGAAGAATCCCCAGAGAGGAACAAACCTCCATAGAAAGGAGGAAACTTTCTCTCAGTAGACACAAGAGGTTCATCACCTAAGAGCACTAGCAAAACATTGAGGCTTGCTGGGAGTTGGAGGGGTCATATAGAAATAAATGGATGTCCCTGCTTCTTTCTCTTTTGTATCAGTGTCCAATTACCTAAAGGTAGCTGCGTATAATGCATGGTAAAGACTAAAATCCAGTGTCCTGTACTGTATGACTATAAAACCTTTGTTTTCAACCCCAAATCTGGTGTTTAAATCAGCTCTAAGGCACTGTTTTATAATGCTTAATATGGGCCTATGCTCAAACATTAACTTAACCACTTGCCAAGCAATGTACATATATTTACATCCTCTGGAAGTGGTGCTGACAGTTGGGTCATGGCTGCAGGTATCATTCTCTTCAGCTGGCAATTCTGTGATCTAAAGTGATCCAAGCAGCTATATAGCCACCAATTCACTTTTACAGGCGGTGGAAAGGGGGCCCCCCCCCTCCCACCACCACTAGCTGCCTTTTACAGGCTCTAACATCCCACTGGGGAGCCCACTACTGGCGCGATTGTTTGTATTGGATGTGCTAAACGGCGTTAAAGGAACTTACCTTTTTCCTTTGTGACACCAGAAACCAGAAGTGATGAGGATTTCGGCACTTCATACACTTACACATGTAAACAATGATGGCAACACACATGTGAGGTATCACTATGAATGTCAGAGTGAGAGCACTAATTCTAGTGACCTCCTAGTATCTCCTGTGTAACTCTAAACTAGTAACCTGTAAAGGCTTTTGAAATGATGTGTATGGAAATTTTTAGGTTTAGTTTGCCCCCCATTCCACGGGCATGCACAATGTTAAAGAGTGACATGTTTGGCATCTATTTACTTGGTAATAATCTTTTACAAATAAAATAGGTATTATTTTGTGTTTGTGTGCACTAAAATTCATTAAAGTGTATTTTTTCGTATTTGCATTTTAAAAATACAGTGAGGATCGAAAAAGTTCGGGCACCCCAGCTAAATATTTGTATTAATGTGCATAAAGAAGCCAAGGAAAGATGGAAAATCTCCAAAAGGCATCAAATTACAGATTAGACATTCTTATAATATGTCAACAAAAGTTAGATTTTATTTCCATCATTTACACTTTCAAAATAACCGAAAACAAAAAAAATGGCGTCTGCAAAAGTTTGGGCACCCTGCAGAATTTATAGCATGCACTGCCCCCTTTGCAAAGCTGAGACCTGCCAGTGTCATGGATTGTTCTCAGTCATCGTCTGGGAAGACCAGGTGATGTCAATCTCAAAGGTTTTAAATGCCCAGACTCATCTGACCTTGCCCCAACAATCAGCACCATGGGTTCTTCTAAGCAGTTGTCTAGAAAACTGAAACTGAAAATAGTTGACGCTCACAAAGCTGGAGAAGGCTATAAGAAGATAGCAAAGCGTTTTCAGATGTCAATATCCTCTGTTCGGAATGTAATTAAGAAATGGCAGTCATCAGGAACAGTGGAAGTTAAAGCAAGATCTGGAAGACCAAGAAAAATATCAGACAGAACAGCTCGCAGGATTGTGAGAAAAACTATTCAAAACCCACGTTTGACTGCAGAAAGATCTGGCAGACACTGGAGTTGTGGTACACTATTCCACTATAAAGAGATACTTGTACAAATATGGTCTTCATGGAAGAGTCATCAGAAGAAAACCTCTTCTACGTCCTCACCACAAAAATCATCGTTTAAACTTTGCAAATTAACATATAGACAAGCCTGATGCATTTTGGAAACAAGTTCTGTGGACCGATGAGGTTAAAATTGAACTTTTTGGCTGGAATGAGCAAAGGTACGTTTGGAGAAGAAGGGGCACAGAATTTAATGAAAAGAACCTCTGTCCAACTGTTAAGCATGGGGTTGGATCAATCATGCTTTGGGGTTGTGTTGCAGCCAGTGGCACAGGGAACATCTCACGAGTAGAAGGAAAAATGGATTCAATAAAATTTCAGCAAATTTTGAATGGTAACTTGATGCCATCTGTGAAAAAGCTGAAGTTAAAGAGAGGATGGCTTCTACAAATGGATAATGATCCTAAACACACCTCGAAATCCACGGGGGATTACATCAAGAGGCATAAACTGAAGGTTTTGCCATGACCTTCACAATCTCCTGACCTCAACATAATTGAAAATCTATGGATAGACCTTAAAAGAGCAGTGCGTCACAGACAGCCCAGAAATCTCAAAGAACTGGAAGACTTTTGTAAGGAAGAATGGGCAAAGATACCTCAAACAAGAATTGAAAGACTCTTGGCTGGCTACAAAAAGCTTTTACAAGCTGTGATACTTGCCAAAGGGGGCAGTACAAGATATTAACTCTGCAGGGTGCCCAAACTTTTGCAGACGCCATTTTTTTGTTTTCTGTTATTTTGAAAGTGTAAATGATAGAAATAAAATCTAACTTTTGTTGACATATTATAAGAATGTCTAATCTGTAATTTGATGGCTTTTGGAGATTTTTCCATCTTTCCTTGGCTTCTTTATGCACAATAATACAAATTTTTAGCTGGGATGCCCAAACTTTCGATTCCCACTGTAGCTGTGCAAATATCGTGCTAAAAAATGTCAACAAAAACATTTTAATTTCCTGGGCCTCTGCCTAAAAAAATATAAATGTTTTAGGGTTATAAGTAATTTTCTAGCAAGAAAATGCTGAATTCTACATGCATGCGAGAAATGTCAGAATTGACTTGGTTTGAAGTGGCTAAAGCTATGTTAACAGTCTTCATAAAGTGGTAAATAGATACTAATAAAATAGCGGAGATACTTACTTTTCCTTTAGATAATACTGCTCTAGGCTCCTTCTGGTACTCATCATATATCCAAAAGCCTAGGCATAAGCCAGTCTAGACTTTAATATCTCTCGCTAGCAGAGATTACACAAGCTGTCATCTGGGCTTCTGGACACATGATTAGCAAAGAAGGGAGCTCAAACATCGTTTTCTCCAGGAAAGAGATTTCAGACAGTCTCCACAAGAAAAAGTAAGATACTCTATGGAAACAACTAGAATCTTTAACTAAAATACATCTGGGAAGTATAAAAGACATGATAGAACACAGGGCAAAAGATGTTGATTGTTTTTTCAAGCTCTGAAAAAAATGAATTAAAACATCTTCACAGCAAGGTCTTACAAAAACATGCAACAAAAATGTACCATTGGTCTTCTAAACAAACATTTACTATATTATGCAATACTATAGATAGACATTTTATTCTGCAAGAAGATGGCTCATAGTTACCATTTTCAGAGCCCGTTCAATATCTATCCCTTGGCTCCATGGCACAGCAGGATTTGCCAGGCAGTCACCAGCACTTCCTCTTCTTGAGACATCCACTCGTTGCCTTCTTAAGTATCGAAATGCTTCTGCAATTACCAGGACTGCATCATGGGTCAGTGCAGATGTATACTAAACAAAACAAAAAGCAAACATGATACACAATTTCAGACAATGTGAGAAGATGCATGAAGATTAATATTGTTTTTTGAAAAAAAGATTACAGTTTGTATGTATGTATACTTCAATAAACTACTGTGTTATGGGAGGATACAATAACAATGGAAAGGCATTGTGCATTTCTGTCCCAACTATTTAGATGTTTTTATCATTTGCATAAAATTTCTGTGGTTAGAGAGTGCAGCTGTTTAAAACATGCCTCTGACAAAGTTCTAATACTGAAGAATTTCAAGTGGAATCAAGTTGTGAAGAGGGAGAGATGGGAGTTGGGGAAGCACTTTCCATAATATGCAAGTATGCACAGAATATGTGCAAATGATGGAAAATCTATCATTCAGATTGCCCTCCTCCAGTAACGACATCTCTGCACTCTCTGTTGCTGTCACCATCTCTGATTCTTCTTCTGCATCTGGCATCTTCCTTTTCGGCTGTTTAGGCTATTGATAATGTGAAGGAGTTGCAAATTCATGGCACTTGTCCCACCTCTTCAGCATCTTATGAGAATATACACTGCGTGCATGCACTGTAGATAGTGTACATTTAACAGAAATGCTAGCAAACAGGTAAAGGTTTTTTTTGTGCTGAACACACCTGCAAAGTTTCTTCGAAAAAAACCCTCTATCTTCTTGCAATTTTATTTAAGTTTTTTTTTGTTTTTTATTGCAATATTTTTTCATGGCATCTCTTTACTGCTTATGCCAGCACCAAACACTTCATTTATATGACATAATATTTGTGATATTCTTGCTACAAGCGAGTATAAGTAATAAGGGTAATTACATTTTAAAATGTCATTATTTACCAGCATCCAAACTTATGCTGCCCTTACATACATCGATTTTCAGGTAATTTTTTTACAACATTTTACTAACTGCCCAGGCAAAAGCAACTGAACTGATCAGCTCAGAAAGCTTTCCTTTCAACAGTTTGTTTTTTTTTTCATGGTTTTGATAGAAACTGTCAATGGTATCTTGCTTTGATCTATTGGGCTGTTTTTGTTTTGATCTATTGGGCTGTTTTTATGATATAAAACTGATTGAAAGAGGTTGCATTTACCAAAAAATTGGAATTGGTGGCCATCACAGATGAACTATATTTTAAACTTGTAATTTCAAGAATAATATTAAGCCAGATGGATATGAAGAATAGAGGATAGCTTATTTTTTTATTGCTTTTTTTACTATACTTTGATTAGCGCAAGGTTACACATTTTTTCTTTAATTAAACAATCAAGACTCAATAAAATGTAATTGAAAGATTTAAATATACTTACAGTTAATACAGTATATTTATTCAAACAGTATTACTGAATTTACTCAACTGATATTAGACATTATTATATAAGTAAAAAAATTAGAGTTAGAAGTAATTTATTATGTTACCTTTTTAAAGATGAACTTTGCAAATAAAATTCTTAATTTACAAATGACACTCTTTATACTAGTTACAACGGTAGGGATAGACATTGCATTGTAAACACCAGCGCTACTGGGGTGCCACAAAGAGTCCCCACGGGTGCCATGGCTCCCCAACTAAGCAGGAATCTAGTCAAAGATTCTTCTTGCCACCAATTAGGCCTTTTTGTGATTACAGTGGTACCAGTCAGCTGTCTCAAACATGCATGCAGCTGCCACGGGCATTTAGAAAGCTGTACAGGCCACCAGCGTCCTTCCAACTGATGACACCATCATTGGTTGTTAAGGGCTGGTTGGATGCCTGCGCAGTTTCCTGGGATGTGCTCTAGTGGTTTGTGGGATGGGATGCATTCCACTCTTCTGTAGTTGTAGCTGGGGAGACATGGGCAGCTGTGTGAAAGGAGTGAAGAAAAAAGACATGGTGAGGAGGCTGGAAGGTACAATATATAAATATATATACAGTATATACTGTATGTCAGCCTTTCTCCATCGGGATGCTGCAATCCTATGTGCCCTCCCTCTGCCGACAGTTGGCAGCTCTGCAGGTTCCAGTCCTGTATAATATGCAAGGATGAGACTGGGAGAGCTCCAACTGTCGGTAAAGTGAGAGTTGACAGTAATAAGTAGAATCAACAGTTTGCAGATCCCTGGGGAAGGGATGGGGGGTTTTGCTTGTTCCAGACTGCTGACCTGCTCGGCATCCTCCTACAGTGCTGGATTTTGTAAATAAATATTTCTCCAGGCAGTGGGGGTGCTGAAGCAAGCATGAAAGTGGATCAGGCAGGTCAGTAGATCTGCTATTTTAAAAAAGGCTATGTATATACTGTATATATGTTTGTGTATGTATGTATGTACTGTATATGTGGATGTATGTATGCATTTTCAGTGTGTATAAATGTTTATATTGTTATACAGGACTTATATAGCGCCGACAGTTTGCTCAGCACTTTACATTATGGAGGGAGATAGTACAGTAGCAATACAGTTCATATATGTGTTCATGTGTATGTACATCTGTATGTTACTTTTGATCCTGACCACTACACTCTGTACGGTCAGAACTGGTTTTCTATGCTAGCAGGGCTGCTTTTTCAGGGCTCCTTTACACTAGTAAAAAATGGCGCTCCTTTGAAAAGCAACTCATGCTTGAATTGCTTTTCAGAGGTCTCCTTACTGCCTGCTTTAACTCCCTAAATGCTTCACCACTGTGCTGCAGCCGCACGCAGTGCACGTGGTTGCAGGGTGGTTGCAGAGAGGCCCCATCTATTAGTAATGCCCGCCAAACGCAACAGGGAGTATAATTCCTGCCATAGCCACAAAGCATCATGTCTACAACATTTGTACAACCCTTTTTGCTGCCTCTGCAGATAAAAGGAGTGAATTTGGGGGGTATGTTGCTCAACCTCATTGTTTTGCCATCCTCCAACCTCATGTGTGAATGAGCTCTTAGGCTAGATTCACACTAATGCGGCTCTGCGAACTGTGTTTTCTCAGGCACGACAGCTCATTCATTTTAATGGGCTGCCGTGCCTGCATTTCATGCACGAAAACTGTTCCTGCACCATTTTTAAACTGTGCACCATGCAATTTCCCAGCAGTTCCCACGGCTGCATTTTTAGATGCTTGGGGTGCCATTAAGAATGAATGGCAGCCCCATGCATCTGTAAAGAGCAGTGCATTTTAGTTGTGGTTGTGGGAACAGCTGCGATTCCCACACCTGTAACCACTTTCATTAGTATGAACCTAGCCTTAGACTGGGGTGCCCTGAGACTGAATATGCTTTCAAAGGGAGCCTTGAATGAAAAAAAAAATAGAAGCAGGTTGAGAAACACTGGTATACATGGTCATTTGTTAGGAAAGAACCAAGATGTTAAAATATAGACTAAATAGCCAAATGTATTTTGGACACCTCTCCAAATCATTGAATTCAGGTTTTCCAATCACCTCCATGGCCACAGGTGTATAAAATCAAGCACCTAGGCATGCAGACTGCTTCTACATACATTTTTGAAAGAATAGGTCGCTCTCAGGAGCTCAGTTAATTCAAGCGTGGTACCGTGATAGGTTGTCACCTGTGCAATAAGTCCACCTGTGAAATTTCCTTGCTACTAAATATTCAACTGTTAGTGGTATTATAACAAAGTGGAAGCAACTGGAAACAACAGCAACTCAGCCACGAAGTGGTAGGCCACATAAAATGACAGAGCAAGGTCAGTGCATGCTGAAGTGCACAGTACGCAGAAATCACCAACTGTCTGCAGAGTCAATAGCTAAAGACCTCCAAACTTCATGTGGCCTTCAGTGCATAGAGAGCTTCATGGAATGGTTTCCATGGCCGAACAGCTGCATCCAAGCCTTACACCACCAAGTGTAATGCAAAGCATCAGATGCAGTGGTGTAAAGCACGCCGCCACTGGACTCTAGAGCATTGGAGATGTGTCCTCTGGAGTGACAATGTCTTGCAATCTGAAGGACGTGTCTGGGTTTGGTGGTTGCCAGGAGAATGGTACATGCCTGACTGCATTGTGCCAAGTGTAAAGTTTGGTGGAGGGGGAATTATGGTGTGGGGTTGTTTTTCAGGGGTTGGGCTTGGCCCCTTAGTTCCATTGAAGGGAACTCTTAAGGTGTCAGCATACCTAGACATTTTGGACAATTTCAACCAACTTTGTGGAAACAGTTTGGATATGGCCCTTTCCTGTTCCAATATGACTGAGCATTAAGCAAGGTCCATAAAGACATGGATGAGCGAGTTTAGGTTGGAGGAACTTGGCTAGCTTGCGCAGAGTCCTGACCTCAACCCAATAGAACCCCTTTGGGATGAATTAGAGTAAACAATGTGAGCCAGGCCTTCTCTTCCAACATCAGTGTCTGACCTCACTAATGCCCTTCTGGAAGAATGGTCAAACATTCCCATAGACACACTTCTAAACCTTGTGGACAGCCTTCCCAGAAGAGTTGAAGCTGTTATAGCTGCAAAGGGTGGGCCAACTCAATATTGAACCCTACGGACTAAGACTGGGATGCCATTAAAGTTCATGTGCGTGTAAAGGCAGGCGTTTTAATACCTTTGGCAATATAGTGTATATTATTATTATTATTATACAGTATTTATATAGCGCCAACGATTTGCTCAGCGCTGTACATTATAATGGGAGACAGTACACGAGATAGTACAGTAACAATACAATACAATACACGAGGGGTTCGAGGGCCCTGCTCCTTGGAGCTTACAATCTAGGAGGGAGGGGAGAGTGGTACAGGAGGAAATAGCTGTGGGGGATGGAGTGGTGGGAAGAGCGGAGGAGATCAGCAGTTAGGTGAGGGCGGGGTAGGCTTCTCTGAAGAGATGGGTTTTCAGGGTGCGCCTAAAGGTGAGGAGGGAAGGTGACAGTCTGATGGATTGGGGTATTGAGTTTCAGAGGATGGGGGAAGTCATGGAGAAGTCCTGGAGACGGGCGTGGGAGGAGGAGACCAGGGAACTGGAGAGTAGGAGGTCTTGTGAGGAGTGGAGAGTGCGTTTTGGGTGGTAGATGGATATCAGGTCGGTGATATAGTTTGGGGCAGTGTTATGAACATCTTTGTATGTCAATGTTAATATTTTGAATTTTATACGTTGGGCATTCGGAAGCCAGTGGAGGGATTGGCAAAGGGGGGTGGCGGATACGGAGTGGTTGGTAAGGTGGATGAGTCTGGCTGCATAATTCAGCATAGACTGAAGCAGGGATAGCCTGTGTTGGGGTAGGCCGTCAAGGAGGGAGTTACAGTAGTCAAGTCGGGAGATGATAACGGTATATAATAGTAATCTATATAAGGGTGTATTGCAGACCTTGCAGTTGCTATAGGCCCTTGCACCAAAGAGGGCTCAGTACCGCTTGGTGCATAATTAGTGTACCATTTCCAGCATTAGCTTTTGGCAGGGTATATGAATAAAATAACATGTATAGAGTTTAGTTTAATTAGGATTCATCTGATTTTCAGGTCTTGAAAGCGGTGATCTTATTTAAAATTAGCTGCCTAAAAGCCAACAAGGTATACAAAGGGTCACAACAAATGATTGACATGTTGGTTATGGAGCTATGATTATCTCCTATTATCCTTAGCTCCATCTAGGGGCCATAATGCAGTATATATATTTTTTTTATTTTAAAATACCACATTATGACCACTGGATGGAGCTGCCAATCATAGCAGATAATCATATTACAAACAATGCAGTGATCATTTGTTCTAGTGTGAATGCTAAAGACATCTGCATGGCAATTTTTTATACACAGATCTCAAAGTGCCTCGATAAAATAAGGCAAGGTTTAATGTGTCCCCTTGTTATAATATGAAAACTTTGAGAGATGTGGTGTATAGTTTTTGTGAGTCATTGCAAAGGTATAAGCAGTGATATCTATTGTATGCTAATGAGCTAAGATTATCTTAAATGGACAGTTAATATTAACAAAAACATTACTTAGTTTCATTAACATAAAATATTTTTTAAGAACCATCCATAAATAAATAAGTAAATGTTTTAGGGATGCAAATGAGGTTCTTCAACTATCATTGAAGAACAGACATATCTATGCATGAACCATCCACTATTTTGACATCTTAAAGTGAATACAAAAACAGATTTATTTTTTAGTTTTGGAAAGAGTAAGGAAGGCTTAGACCTTCTGATAACTTTTTATTGCTGTCTATGTCTGCCCTTGAAAGATTTGCCCCTCTATTTGTCCTGGTAAATATTGTCATCAAGACATTACATAAGAGAGAACAAATGAAAAAAAAAATTGTTGAGTTGTCACCAGAAAAATCCTTCAATGGAGACACCAACTCTTGCATAGCTCTTTAGGAAATCCCCCATGCAGGGCAGCACAAAATAAACGGAAAGGTGTTTTAACTCTTCCCCACTCTATCCAAAACTAAAAAATAAGTTGTGACTTGATATACACTTTAAAGGAAACCCTTGCTGGGGGAAATATGTAGGCATGAAGATGGAAGCTTATATATATCAGTGCAGGTTTTATTTAATGAGGTTAAATTCTATGATGTAGAAATGTATGTAAACCTAAATGTAAGGCTCCAAAAGTTAAAAAAAACTGGTAGGGCTGTAAACTCTGAATTGAATTCAAAAGCATTTATCATGGGCATTCTTTTAAGGATTAGTTGTTTACCCCAATCTAGGCTCTCTATAATCCACAACAGCCAGAATACACTGAGTACCTTTTGCATGTTAATGGCAGTGTATTTCCTGGAGTCTGTACTGTGTACCTTCCTCCCTATTGCACCTGTGAACCTTAATGTATGAGTCAATTTACAACTGATTAGTGATAGGATTTGTTTAAGTAAAAGCTAATCTTTTTTTATACACAGTATATATTGTGGTTTTACTGTCTTCCCAATGCATCAAGAGAATAGGTGAATGAGAGTATGGTGGTGAGAGCGAGGAGAAAGAGAGTCATGTATTTGATGCAAAATTTTTTTTACGAAAGTAAAAATGTAGGTGATATGTTTATTGGCTACCTATGGGTATATACTGTAAGTAAGATTTTTACCTATTTGTCATAACCCATGCCCAAAGAAGAAGTGTTTTCAAAGTTTTCACCTTAAAATATATTCAGTTACACAACAAAGTCAGTACCTACAATGATGGAGTAGTGTGCCAGGCTTTTGTAAACGTTTTAATCTGCATGCAATCTCCCCCTTCCAGTATGTTAATGCTACATATAGGCTTTCCCTGTATAAATATTCTATAATATATAAATATTCTCTCTCTTTGCGGTGCATTTTGTGTTTTTGTCCTGGCATTTTTACCGCATTTTTAAAATGTATTTACTATTTTTTTCTTGTTGCTAGGCAGATTTAAAATGCAAAACACATCAAAAATGCATCAAAAACGCACTACATGCTTTTCTGCAGCATTTTCATTGTAGTCTATAGAACCAAAAACGCAACTTTTTGCATTAAGAAAAATCCTTGACCCTTTCTGAAAAATGCACCGGGTGAAAATGCGGAGATGTGAACGTGCCCCATAGAATATCATGTTAAATAGAGTGTAGTGAGTTTCTGCAAAACGCTGCGGAAAACGCTTACATGTGAAGCTAGGGTAAGAGCTGATTCACACATGTGCAGTGTGGATTAAAGCTCGGGTTTGACAACTAATTAACACAGTAGTTGTTCAGCGGTTCATGTCAGTTTTACATCAGGTTCAAGTGCGGATTAGCTCAGGATTTCATCCTATTCACACATGTGCAGTTTAGAAATGGTTCCCATAGAAGTCAATAGCCTGTAATCCGCACCTGAACCGGATGACACTGCTCAGAAATCGTACATGACTTTTTCAAACCACACTGAATCCGCACCACCAGTGCACTGGACATATATAGAACAGCCCCCCCCCCCCCCAGGAAGCAATGTTATTTTACATGTCATGCAGATTGGATGCGGTTCATATGTGAACTGGCACTAAAAGTTTTTACTGCTCATTCACAAACAATACAATTAAGAAAAAGTGCAATTACGAGACTAGTTAGTGGACTGGGAAATTGTTTATATGCATGTTTTGTTTGAGGCATACTTTACCTTTAATGGTGAATTCCTTGCTTCAGGGAACTCTCGTTCATCCAGACGTACCCATCGCTGTAAAAACTGCTGGACAAGTGGATTCTCATTATTCACAATCTGAAATCCAGTGACATTCGCTCCACCATGCATGACTCTCTCCAGTGAAATGCCTGTGAACCCCTGTGTTTGTAAAAAATAAAATGATAAAAAGATCATTTTCTGACTGGATACATTTTAGTAATGAAGCCTTGATATTTAGGAAATTTTAACATGGCTTTTATGAGGTAGGCCAGATGGGTGTTTAACCAATAAACCAGGTTGCTTTGTTTCTTAGGGACATTACTACCAGATAAGAGAGGTCAAAAGCCATCTTCTTGTCCACACATAGAAAATCTGCTAACCATGGTCTGCCAAGCATAGAACCATATAATGTTGCAATAAGGACAGTGGCCAGCCTGTCTTGACATGTATTTTATAATAAAGCATCTAACAGCCCATTGTGTTGTATTACACTAAAGTCTAGTTTCTCTGAAATGATGAGAAACTTGCCAAAATTTGAAAACATTTTTTATATTCCTGTGAAATAAATGAATACAATTATATTACAATTTCACAACATTAATATAGTAATGATTTATCCTAACATGTCAGGCTAATTTTCCAGGAGTTTGCATGGTGTACTCATTAACATTTATGATGTACTCAGGACAACCATCATACGGCAAATGGGGCCGATGTTCCATGTCCACCACTCCAAGGGGACTACTGACAGTTTCAGTTGCAGTTCTTGGTGTACAGCAGCATTAGGACAGAAACATCGATATCTACCACCTACCAACCAAAGGTCTGAGCTAACGACAAAGTTTATCATGTGCATATTCCCTGAGTATCATTGTGCCAGGACAAGACAATTATTTGTGTGATAATATAAATGGCAACTAGTATTAATAAGAAATACAAAAGCAGAAGTGTATCTAGGAAGTTATGTGATTACATATGGGATTCAGAAATGAACACATCCCCTTTAGAGCAATTTAAGCAATGCCTTTTACATTTTTTTTATCTTTCTCTGGATGAACTAAAGATCCAGGTTTACATACTAGGGATCTTTCCCACTCCTGTGGCCACATCCCGTATGGGCAAGGAGATACACTAACAGGTCTGCAGGAGAACTGCATGGCACCAGCGATCTGCTGATCCCTGGTGCAATGCTTTAAAGGCTCCAGAAACAAAAAATAATAAATGCACATTTTTTTTTTACCTGCAATATTATTTTTTTTGTAAAAAAGGTGAATTTATCCTTTAATGAAGCAAGTTCAAAGTCTGTAATCTTGGAATTTGAACCTTAAAACAAATCAGTGATGGTAGAACCCATGTTTTTAGTTTACCATAATTGGTTTAGGAAGACTTTAATATAAGAATACACAAATATATATATATATATATATATATATATATATATATATATGTATTTTTTTTTTTTTAAACTAATTAGAAGCCATATTTTAAAAAGCGTCTCACTTTTTACCACTATACAATGGTGATATAATAAAACAATTTTAAACTACATTACAAGATGTGCATAACAGACTTTTATTTTTCCTAAAGGGAAAGAAATAGTGGGATCTGTACATACTGTTATTGCTGGATCTACACTATATACCATTGCCAAGAGGTCTAAGCAAAAGGGTTTCTAAATGTTCTGTTTAGAAGGTCAGCCACTTGAAAGGTTCCTTTTACACATAATGTGGACATCTAATGCACAGAGGGGATTATTTACAACAACTGGAAATTGCAAAATCTGGTGCACCTCTGCATGGAAACCAATCAGCTTCCAGGTCTCATTGCCAAAGCCTAATTGAACAAGCTGAATTAGTAAGCTGATTGGCTACCACGCACAGCTGCACCAGATTCCCAGTGCACCAGTTTTAGTAAATCTTCCCCAGTGTGTGTTGTGTAATCTCCCTACATGATCTGATACACCAAGAAGATACGATCATTTAGTGAACTACAGGGAGATTGTTACACAATTGCATCAAAATTGTTACAAAGTATTCACTCCATTCACATCAACCCATGACCCCAAAGAAGTAATTTACCAATATGTTTTGGGAGATAACTCACAAAAAACATGGAGAGGACTTACAAATCCTATACGTTTGATTTGAGCCTCAAAACTGCCAAAGCACAAACCCTGCAGCCACTTTTCTGTACAGCCTAAAGGCCCATTCACTGTGTAAAATGCACTGCAGCAGGCAATGCAGTCATGCATGCTGCTGTGCTTTTTCATGTGTGTTCTGCTGTGTTGCTGGAGGATGCAGCTCTATAGAACTTTTTCTAAATGAATAGGGTGGTAGCGGGTATTAGTCCTGTTTAAAAAAAATATATTTTCTTCCATCCAGGTGTTTGATTACATTTTACAAAGTACACAGAAATGTGGATGGTGCAAGTGAGCCCTTATAAAAGAAACCTTGACTACAAAGCTTTATTTTTTAAACTTCACTATCAAAAAAGTGACTACTTTTGAACAACCCAGCCTTGGAGTGCTGTAAAATGTCAATATCTTGGGTCCACATATATATAACTTCATCAAACAACTACAAACTACAGGTCAACTGTCCATATACTTACACTGTTATTCTGTTTGTCTAGTACAATATACTATTGCAATCTTTGGCATCTTATTTCTCAATAGTCATGGTGTTACATATTATGTGTTGCTGCTTACTTTAGTAAAAATGTAAGACTACAGCTTTAATATAGAAGAATTCTTACTAAGGTTATATACAGGCATGGAATGGATGAAGAAGTGCAACAAGTGAAAGACTTGGTTACACAAAATCACTACTAAATATCAAAATAATCTTGTTGATATACTCAGTATCATCAGGTGTACAGCTAAACACTAAATACCTGACTAATTCATGGTTATCCACAATAAGACAACACAATAAGAGGTACCTAAGTTGTGCCGCGACACAGCATTTTCATTCTGTAATGCTCATTTTATAATATAAGTTTGTAACTATTATTAAACCATTCTTACTGGCAGATGTTACAAAATAAAATTACACATAAAATGAAAGGGTTGGGTATCCTTCTCAGTCACAAAGCAAAAGCTTACCCAATGTACATAACTAAAGTTTCTGATGATGACTGAAAAAGCAAGGAAACCAAGTATAACCAGCAAAAGTGGTCTGATATACTAAAAAAAGAAACTATGATGGAGCATTTACTATATTAGCTAGAAAAAAAAAACAACTTAGAAATATAATACAGAGCAGTAATTAGGTATAAAGCAAAAATACAGTATAACCAAACATCATAGTCAAAGAGAACAATACTAGGCTTTCTAGGCATTCTAAGCATAAAAACACATATAATATGACCCAAATATCTGGGCTTAGCCTCAGTAACAGTGTGTAAGTTCCACACATTTGGAGCCTTGGTATAAGAGATGTCAACTGACATGAAAAGTTGGTTATACAGTATAGCCGGGTGAATTACATTTAGTTTATTAAGGACATGTGCTGCACATTATTCATTTAGACATAAAAAACATTTATGGCTTTATGTTCTCCCTCTTCCCTGTTTGAGGGGGAAGAGAGGGGAGAAGCTATATTTCTTCTTTCCTTTTCATCTTCATACGGGGATTCAGCAGCAGCAGGAACCATTGGCTCCTGCTGCTGTCAAACAAATGCAGTGAGGAGGAACTGGGGGCGGGACTAAGCACAGCATCAAAGACACACACATGTTGGGTGCGAGCAGGCACTATGTGCCCCTATAGCAAGTGGCTTGCTTTGGAGGCACACGAAGAAGAGAAGGAGCCAAGATCACCGGCAGGGGACTCTAAAAGAAGAGGTTTGGGGCCACTTTGTGCAAACCCATTGTACAGAGCAGGTGAGTATAACATGTTTATTATTTTAATTTTTTAAAAATTACTATTAGTGTCACCTTAAGCAAAGATAGAAAGGGACAAAATAACTTGATTATATAAACTATACACTATAGCTGGAAATGACAGAAGTTTACATATTAAAGCTGACCATAAACATTACAAAACATTAACAATTCTTCTTTTCCTTTAAACTTCAGCTTTAACCACCAGTTGTAAAATCTGCTTATAGTTACAACAACATGCTATTGACATTTTTTTTACTCCACTCCTTATTTTTGACCCAGAGAAGTCTTCACTGTCTTCTTCATAACCTCCGGAAAATATGATAACATCCTGCATTAATATTTCTCTCAAGAGTCCTTAGCTCTGATGTAAGTAAGCAATGGGGGAGGGTGGATTGTTGAGTGGCGCTGTGCAAAGATCACAGTACCTTTATGGGTGGGTGGTAGTCTGGACTTGGGCATTTAAATTCAATGAATGAAAAGGGTGGGCCCAGGGGCAGTAAGGCTGGGGAGGAATGGTTCAGGTAGCTCTGGACATCCTTTGTTTTGGTCTCTAATTCATACTGTGAGAATCTATTAGTGTGCAGTAAAATCAGAGTAAGCAGTTTCAGCACATGACAGGAGACAGTACAAAAGTGTAAGAAAATAAAGCTGGAGTTCAACTTTAAACACACACATTTGTATTGCTTGAGTGTACGTGTTCTGGCAGTGACAGTTAACTAGGGAAAACCATTTAAAAGGATCAGTCAAAAAGATGTAACCTAACCTGCTAACTTTTCAGTTTGGTAAAATCCATATGGAATAGAGTATCTTCTGTAATCAGCAAATGGACACTGCCCATGTTAAAAATAAAAGGTATTAACGGCATATTTACCAGATAACTGCCATGCAGATAAGGGATGTCTGTAGATAAAAGTAAGCTGTGCAGCTTTGACCACAATTGAATAATGCCCTTGGTATAGGTGTAGGCCATTTATTTACTTCATGAACCCTGAGGCTGGGTTCACACTAATGCGGTGCGGTATTCCTGTGCAAATCACATGCGATTTGCGTGCGGTGTGGCTCAAATCGCACCGCACCCACACCAAAAGGTGCAGGACCCTTTTTTGGGTCCACACTATAATCGGATCACATGGGTATTCATATGTATGCGATCCGATTCTGCACATCGCACTGCGTTTTGCGAACCGATTTCGCGGTGTTGTTAACCTAACATACACACCCGCATCAGTTTGAACAGGGTGCGATTTTGATGCGGTGCAGAATTTGCACAGAAAACGCTGCAAATTCCACACCACATCAATGTGAACCCAGCC